AAAAAAAAAAAAGATGAGAGGCCCCTGAATCAGATGATGACGCAACAACTGTTTTGCTTCAAAGGCGCAAACAAGAGGTGCTGCGTGTCAGATTTCCGCCATACAAATGCAGTGTGCGCAAACAGGCAAACTCACCTTCTTTGCAGATTTGTCTGCACGCAAAAGTGGGCAGGTAGGTGTCCATGGACGGAAAGTTGAGTTAGAAGAGTACAATAGGCAAACGTGTATGATATTGCAGATACTCACAGAACCTAAAATGAGTGTCAAGCAAGAGTGGAGCACATCAAGCATGCGAAGCGTCAGCCTTGATATGCGCAGGTCAACACCATCTGCACCGTCCCTCGCGCGGTCCTCTTTGGACGTGCGCCAGCCCGTGATATCCTCATCGAGATCCGAGCTGCTGTGGGAGAAACGCGAGAGACGCTTGCCCTCGCATCTTGCCCGTGCTCACATTTTGCTGTGAGCGCTCAAACTGCCGCTCTTTTCCACCAGCTTGTCCAGATCCTCTCCTCTCTGCAGCACCGAATCTATGGTCTTGTGCTGCAGGTGCGAATGCCAAAGGCGAGGACGTATCAGGGCACGCGCTCGTCGACTCTGTACGAGTTGCTCCTCTAGCAGTACTCACCAGGACAATCTTTGTCTCGTCGAGTTCTTGCTGCACCTTCATGATCTGATCAGCTTGTCTAGGGTCCTGATACCTGTTCACATAATCCTGCGCTTGCGGAAAGACTGCATTGTCCAAGATACCCGTCCCCTTGGCCGAAGGAGCGGAGCTGCTGCCCGTAGTGATGGAGTTGACCTGCCTCTCGTACAATCCCTTTGGAACTTTGAGCACAAACTCGTCCAGCGTCTTGTTGAGCAGGGAAAACGCAACGCGGGAAGGGTACTCGGTGTCGGATACCAAGACGCCCGAAATACCCTCTGAGGCGGGTCGCGAATGGACGTGCGCAACGTACGTGTTCTCTTGCACCGATTGACGCTGCGTTGGGGATGTCCGCTCGGCTACCGTCTGTGAGGGCTTGCGCATCAGTCTCGCTTCGCAGGTAACGACGCGCTCGCAGCTCCTGCTGCTGTCTCCTCCCTGCAGCTCTGCCCACTCCTCCCATTCCTCCCACTCCTCACCGCCTAGCGCTCACACCTTACACAGCCCCAACCACTCACTTTTGCCATGAAAGCCATGACATCCTGCACAGTGCCTCTTTGCAAAAAGTTGAAGCCTGACAAATCCCAAGCCGTGACGAGAGGCACTGCCTGTGCGCCGGGCGGGTTGGCAAAGATCAACAGGCCAAAGATCTTCCTGCGAGGGGCAAAAAGACGATTTACACGGACTGAGCATGGCTGAGGGCTACGTTGAGGAGAACAGAGGGACTCACATGACTGCTCGAGGCTTCATCGGGCGCACACGTCAAGTCGAGAGAGGAGAAAGAGAGAAGACTGTGAGTGAGTTCTGCTCGCAACTAGGAGCAAAGGCGTCGAGCTTGCAGGACGCGAGTCGTGCCACTGCTGGCCCCCAAGCTCGAGCCCACCACTGTGCTGGCTCATCACTCCACTCCGTCACGTCGGGCTGCTACGCCGCCGGTCGATAGCGTGGGCAACCATTGCAATCCGTCAGATAAGGCTGAAACTTTTAGAATAAATGGTACGAAGAGGTCCCCATATGTTCGGGTCGGGAACCACCTCAAAGGCGGGTGATCCCGGTACTTTTGTCTTCTTCATACGGATTGGATCGGCGCTCACGCGAGTGCATCTCGGAGAGGGGAGGGGCAAGATAGAGACGGTGATGCTACAGCTCTACTCACTCTATTCGATACGCTGTATGCGTGCGCGTGAAGCGGGAGGCTTGAATGCGCTTGATCCGCTTTGCGATTCGAAGTTTGGCTCTACTTTGCCCCGACCCTGTGGATGTGGCTGCGAGCTGCGATCTACGATCTACGTCAGCTTGCTTGGCTTGGTGAATGATCAGCAAGCGCCGTCACTTGCTCTTGCTGTTTGAGCTTGGACGGTGGTGTGCAAGAAAGGTGGTGGATGCGATGGTGATGATGATGGTTGTGGAGATGGCCAGTGTTGGTGTTGGGCGCGGAAAGTGATCGAATTGAGGATTTGGAATCGAATGAGTGAATGCGGTTACGCGAATTCCCTGATTGCGGTTGATGAGCACGCACATGACTTGTCGGAGGGAGGGGATGGATGGATATGCCCTGCATGCACATGCATGGCGCGGCATGGCATAGCACGCTGTTCTCTATACCCCCTGCTGCACCTACCGCACATACACGCACACACCAGCTGAGCGACCGCCTTCCTGCCTGCTTCCTTCTGCTTTGAAATTCAATTATTGAATTTGGTGATTCAGCGGCACATGACGCAGATCGCGCAGCTATGTGACTCACGTGACCTGCTCCTCCAGGCAGTTCTTGCTGGATGCAACATTCAATAATAATTCACCATTCATCAGATTCGAATTCACAAATTCACGAATGCTTGATTGTGACTCGTGAATCTTTGAACACGTGAATGGTTTGAATCTGAATGGTGAATGGCGCTAAGCTCGGACTCGTGACAGCAGCAATCGTCCATTGAATGCACTGAGCATCTCTTCCAACACTCGAGACTTTCACCTCCCTTCACGTCTCAGTGACTGCCTTGCCATTCCCCTGCCTCGCGACGCGCGACTTGTGCCCCACGATTGTTACAAGGGGAGAGATCGTTCAGCTCATCGACTACGGGTCTCGATGGGGCGGAAAGGAGAAGGACAATGTCAAGCATCTACGACGCTCTCCACGCTTTCCAATCAGAAGCACAAGTCTCTCCAAACCCTACTTGGCTTCTACTGCTACTCATCCCCGCCCTCGTGCTGATGGGTATGATTAGCCTACCTCTACCTTTTGGTCGCTCGCACTGGAGCGCGAAAGGCAAGCATGCCTTCATAACGGGCGGATCTTCGGGATTAGGATTGGCGCTTGCCGAGCTGATCGTCGAGAGAGGTGGAAGCGTGACGCTGGTAGCGCGCGACGAGACTCGTCTGAGTTGTGCCAAGCAGCAGGTAGAGCGTCTTCTCAGCGTGCGCCTTGACCCCAACAAAGGCAGCAGCACAATGACGGACTACAAACAGTTTGTGCAGGCTATCAGCGCGGATGTCTCATCCTTTGAAGCGGCCAGAAGGGCAGTCCAGCAAGCTTCCACCTCCACCTGTCAACCCGACATCTTTTTCTGCTGTGCAGGAGCAGCTACGCCGGGATTCTTTATCGCTCAATCCGAAGAGACGTTGCGTCGAGGCATGAACACGGATTACTGGACCAGCGCCAGTATGGCCCACGCAGCGCTTCGCAGTTTCATTTCCAGCGGCAAAAAGGGCGGCAAAATCGTCTTTGTATCGTCCATCTTGGGAATGTTTGGCATGGTTGGCTATGCCGAATATGCGCCTGCAAAGGCTGCCATATGCTCCTTGGCCGACACGCTCCGAAGCGAAGCTTTGCTGTACGATGCACAAGTGCATTGTTACCTGCCCGGCACCATACTCAGTCCCGGCTTGGAGAGGGAGAACAGGACGAAGCCGAACATCACGCTCAAGCTGGAAGGCACTGGGTCAGGTCTGACCCCAAGGCAATGCGCGCAAGGTCTGCTCAGAGGTGCGTATATGCTTCACTCCTCTCGCATCGCACCTTGCAGCCCCCTCTCACACGTCGCTTAAACGCACACCACTCCTTTGCGCTCCACGTCAGGTTTATCGCGCAACCAGTTCAACATTACTACCGACTTCCTCACCGAACTGGTGCGCAGCGCACATTTGCAAAACTCGCCAGGTAACGGTTGGATTTTGGACGGATTCAAGTGCGCGCTTGCTAGGATTGTACAGCCCCTTTGGAGATGGATCGAGAATGATAGGGCCATCCAAAAGGAGAAGAAGTTGCACTTGGCGGAATTGCAAACGGCGGGAGTACAGGTTGCTGGCGCGCCAGTATTGGCGTCGGCGCCGAGTCAAAGCGAGTGATGTTCTGATGATTCAAGAGGGTCACGTTTGATCTTGTCCCCGAGCATGGCAAGCAGCATCAGCATCGCAATGTCATTGGGATTTTTGGGAGGGAGCAGAAGACACTCTGACTGGGCGCGTCGGAATGTTGACGAGTGGGTGAACAATCAAGCTATGCGCAAGGGAGCTCGAGCCAGGTGACACAGACAGCCGATTCGATGCTGTGCATGTGGGGTGAGCAGGGGACTATGTGTGCCTTGCCTTCGCGGTAAGTCTCTCAAAGGTCAGTAGTGCAGATGGAGTAGAAAGGTGCGACCCAGTCAGTATTGCAGCTGGAGGAGACTTGCTGTGCAGCCAGGGGCGAAAACTGGAATTCTGCGTCACTTTGACTACGCTGTGCTAGGACGCTCGCTACAAATACAGCATGAGTGCAGATAGTCTGTAGGGACCCACGCAGGCTGTGCCGGGGTGCTGGACCGTTCTGCCCAGGCTACTCAGCACCAAAGATTCGCGACTCTCTAGAAGTCCAGAGCAGTCAGCATCAGGGTTCGTTTGCCCGTTGAGTCAGCCAAGGCACCGCACGTCTGCGGAGACGCCCCAAAGCTATTGGGCGCGCAGTCCAAATTGTAGGCGCAAGAATCAGAAAATGTGATGGTGAAAGTATTTGATTAGCCCTTTGCTATCCTCGCCGGAAGGTGGACATCTGGAACGTCTACTCCGACCCGTGACGCGGTACCCGCGAGTGTCTGCGGGAGCGCCGTATCGCGGTATGTGCAGACCGTCGAAGCCGGCCAGTAGTAGGACTTGATGAATTGGAGAGAAGGGCGATGGGATGAGCGGTGTTGAGGGCGGGCAGGGCGTGTACTGTTGCAAAGTGCAGGGGTGGTGTGACAAAAAGCATAAATGCCGACCTATTTCGTTCGCTGATCCCCCAAAATCGGCTGTGCCAGAACTCTGGAGACCAACATTTCAACTCTTGGATCGCTGCATCAGGCCCTATCCCTACAGCATCACGATCACATACGGTCAGACATTTTGACCTCGAGCGAGACACGCCTGCGATTCCAACGCATCAAGACTTTGCGACAAGTACAAAATATGAAATCGTTTGTTCTCGCAACTATCGTGGCTCTGGCTGCTTTCTCGTCGGAGAGCGCAGCTAATGTCACCCACCGAGTCGATTGGTCTAAGCCCACGACGAATTGTGTCAAATACATCCAAGCGTTTAACCAGGCCGAGGCGCAAAGCATTTGGAACAGCCATTGCAGGGGATACAACGGTGAAGCGCACGACCCAAGTTACACGGATGATGGGTAAGTCCGCAGGGACGCAGAAGCTGATTTCGTTCCCGCTCTGATATCCGATCGCCCATCTTATCCCATTCAGAGCTACTACCGCAACCGTAGACTGTATGTGAGTGGACCGTCAAAGCTAGGCAAAATCTTTTCATGGCGACCTGCATTACCGTGCTTGGACGTGCTGGGCTGATTGAGTCTCTCTCGCATCCCTTGTGAATGCATGCAGCACTTCGGGCCCGCACGCTCTCAGCGCAGCCACAGCGCTTGCGCAAGACCTTTGCTGGACGGAACTCTAAGTCCATGGCCGGGCGAGTCATGACTGGCGACTCTACGAAGTTGAGGCATGACCGGTGCGCCCTCTTAGCAGAGTATCGAATCTGGAATCATGTTGTCCCACTGAGATCGGGTCAACACTTCATACTCGGGCGTCAACTGCGCGGAAATGCACAAATGATTTGACCCGTTCACATCTCCCGCGGCAGATGGTGCCTTGCTGAAACAGTCTGCTGGTCATCTCTCCACCGGCTTGAGAGTCAGAGTCAGATGCGTGTCGGACGTCAAATGATGGGTGTTCGTCGAGCTTTTGCAAACCTGCAGCATATTCCTCTTTGCCGTTCCATCTCCGTCTCGCTGCAGATGGATTGTGACGACCGAGCACGTCAGCTGTCCACTTGGCCGTCTTTCTGCCATTCTGGCCTTTGAAAAGCTCGAAATGATTCACTTTCTCCAGCAGCATCACAGCCTTCAGAGAAGGAAGAGTCTCGCTATTCCAGTAGCCCCTTTTCTCATCTGCAGAGCTCGTTGTGGGCAGATCGGAGAAGCGCACACCGGCAGATAGCAGGTACGTCGGGCTCAACGAAGAAGTTGGCT